CCCACTGAATTTGGATGTTAGCTTTTTGTGATTCATGGAAGAGGACTTGCAAATCTTTCTATTCTATAGCTTTCTCCAGTCTTTCTCCATTTAAATTATTTTCCACTTCTCTCTTCAACCTGCCAAAGTGCATAACTCACATTTTCCCACATCATATTCCATCTGCCAAGCTTTTTCCAACTTGGTTAAGCTGTCTGTATCCTTCTCCAGATCCTTTTGTGTTACCCTCACCACTTGCCTTCTTATCTACTGACCGTGGACCTGCTGGCAGTTTGATGTTTAAATGACAGGGGACAGCATGGTGGCTCAGTAGTTAGCACTGCTGCCTCACAGTGCCAGGGGCCCGGGTTCGATTCCACCCTCGGGCAACTCTGTGTGGAGTTTGCACATTCTCCCCGTGTCTGCGTGAGTTTCCTCTGGGTGCTCCGGTTTCCTCCCACAGTCCAAAGATGTGCAGGCTAGGTGGATTGGCCATGCTAAATTGCCTGTAGTGTTCAGGGATGTGTAGATTAGGTGGGTTATAGGGGGATGGGTCTGGGTGGGATGCTCTGAGGGTCGGTGTGAACTTGTTGGGCCGAAGGGCCTGTTTCCACACTGTAGGGATTCTGTGAAATCTATGAAACAATAGTGGGCTGGCTCGATGGAAACATCACTGCGCTTTAATAAAGGTATGGGCTGAAATTTTGAAGCATCACACCAAAGGTGTGACATCATCACCATGCACCATTGAAAACTGAAGTGGAGGACAAGCCTTCCCCATGCACAACTGCTGGGAGCCATCCTGCTTTGCACAATTTTGGTCGATGACATTGGGATGCAATTTTCTGAGGAAAACACCTACTTCCTGATAGGAACGTTTCTGTGATAGGGCCTGTGTTTGCTTTATGAACCTCTCATATCCAAGAAATTTCCTGAGACCTGGACCTATGTCTACAGCTTGAATTGGTGCAATCAGATAGTAGCAGAGATAAAGAGATGGGCAGGAATATTGCCTCTCAATTTCCTATAGTTTCCCCTGACTGTTACCACTCAGGTGTGTCCCAAAATGAGTACGCCACTCAAAACACTTTCAGTGAACCTTCATTCACCTGATATTCCTTTATTCCAATACTTAACAAAAATCAATCAATCAAAGAATAGAAATGTACATGATCAATCATCAATCGTGATTCGCAGAAGCGAATTCTACTGTCCTTTGCATGAAACGGTGTTTCCTTGCTTCTTTCCTGAAAGGTCTGACTCTAGCCTTTACCCTGCTGTCCTATAATCCCCAATCTGCCCTATTAATATCTTGAAAACTGATTAAGTCACCCTTTCACCTTCTAAATCCAAGAGAACAAACTGCTTCCAGTAGCTGGATGAACACAGCAGGCCAAGCAGCATCATAGGAGCAGAGAGGC